TCGTTTATTCCTTTTATATGTTGGTGAAACAATAAAGAAATAACAAGCGGCAGATCGGTGTTTTGGTTTTTGCGTCCGTTATTACTAAGCGTTTCTGAAACTCAAAGGAACAGCGTGGGCCCGAGCGTAGCGAGAGCTGGGCATTAACGGTTTATGAGACGAGACTGACAAATGCTTATCCATGCCTGTATATTTGGTGTGTCCTACACAAGTAGGAAAAAATGTGTATTTTATTAAAACATTATTATTAATTGTGACTGCTAATCGTATATGTAATTTATCATACTGATGATGCCTGTAAACTGGCGTCTCTCATGTACAAAATGAGAATATACTATTATTATTATTATTATTATTAATAGTAATAGTAATATATTCTCATTTTTTGTACGTGAGGGAAGCCACTTTACAGCCATCATCAATATGATAAATTACATATAATGGTATGACTTTCAGCCTGAAAAAAGTGCAAAGTAGGGTAATTACAGACCTGTAGACTGCAGAATGCAAGTTACTCCCTTTGGAATGAAAGCTCGTTCTGCACAAGGTCGGGGAGTGACTTAGGTCTAGTTCTCATCAATCAGTCACAACACGGATTCATCAAAAAATTTATGCGTCACTTGCTATATAGACGTTTTCAACGAAGTCACCTGTAGAAGAGACATAAGAGAACCAGTAATTATCCTTTATTTTGATATAATGAAAGCCTTAGATAGAGCTCCACATAGTCTGTTAGTCATCAGGTTGTGCTCACTGGGGATACGCGACCTACTTCAGAACTGCATAAAATCATTTCTCTGTGACAGAAACCAGGCAAAAGAAGTTAGCTCGATGACATCCAGGCTTAGACCAAATGGCAGTGGTGTCATCCAGGGGAATGTATCGGCCTCGGTCCTTTTCATGATATACATAAACGGTATACGTGAATGCTTTGGCCTAGGGAAACCATTGCTGTATGCAGATGACTCTATATTAAGAATTGATAAGAATGGTTAGATAGTGTGATACCTGGAGACTAATTTTATGCCGAAACGAGTGACTGGCTTTGCATAGGCTGTTCCGACCTAGAAGTCAACCAGGAGATTCAAGGCCACAAAATCCAGAGATTCAAATCTGTACTAGAACTAGGACTGAAATATTCACACAATCTATCGTTTCCAGATCATTTCTCGAGCGTCGAAATCACATGGGCATTTTGGTTTCCTACTCAGATGCTTCTGCGGAAGTAAATTTAGAATACTACTGTACAAGGTTTGTGTGAGACCAATCCTAGATCGCTGCTCATTCACAATTAGTAGTAAGCTGAAAGAAGACAAACAAAAAGTAGCACACAAACACCAATATTTAAGAAAAGGTATGTTTTCATTGAAAAAGTTATTCTCAGCCAACCCTCGAAAACTGTCAATGCTGAACGTCACGCTGTCCCTCGAAGTTTTTCAGAAACGCTTTGTATTAACCAACACGAAAACCAGAACACTGATTGGCGACTCTAGAATCCTTTATTCTTACGCCAATATGTAACCAACAATAGGGTTAAATAAAGTATAATTATATTTCAATAGTTTACACAAAATGATAAGTTTTGTTATCATTGTGTGTAAACTATTGAAATATGATTATACTTTATTTGATCTAATCCACGATGCTCAAACTTTTTACTGATATTAACAATAGGGTTATTACAGAGGAAGGTCTAAGAACAAATGTTACAACAATGAATTTCGATAATACTTCTGATAGTTTTTTAATCTTCCTTCTGAACAGCGACCGATGAGACGATGACTGATGGATTGATGACTCCGCGAAAAATATGGGGAAGTTGGGTTTTAGCAAATAACCATGAATTGATCGTTCAATCTTCAGCTACATTGACAGTTATACTTTCCAACAAGGATGGAGAGTGTTGCTAGCTGGTCAGTAGATATGGCGGTGGTCACTGCGTTGAATCGCCCTATTCCGCATTAACGCCACTATGCATTTTGACGGCTGGAGAATTTTATGAGGGCTTAGATCCTTATGTTGAAAAAGATAACAATGGACGCCTAGACAGATCATAATAATATATATTTCTTCCTGTTTATGCAGAAACATACCAATTGTATAGGCATGGATAAGTTATCATATAAATTACACGAAATTTGATGTATAATGGATTTACAGTTTGGTTGTGCTTTCTGACATCAAAGTCAGTCGGAACAGTCTGCTTTAAAGTTTGTTTGTGTAGCACATAAAGAGATATAGGAATATTGTCTTCGCATTAACAAAAAAACCCAGACATCAGATGAATGTAATACAAATATCTGGGAAAAATAAAGCTTCTGCCCTTAAATGTGTACCATTCTCTTTCGTGAGTTTCCCGTTGTGGATTACTTGGCATGCAGCATTATCCTACAACTGTTGGACGAGGTGTATAATTGTTGACTGCACCCCTTAATGGCGAAGTAGTTGCCAACTCGCCTCTCTATCGAAACTGTCGAAGGCCTTTCGAAGTCGATGGAGTTCAGGCAAAGAGCTGACTGCCCTTCCAAACTCTGTTCACTGATGATACTTAGTGTTGCGATTTGATCAATTGATGACTTGTTTCTTTTGAATCCATCCTGTTCCGGTCGAATTTTCCACTCAGGGTTTGTTTAATTCTCTCCAGGACGATGCGGCTTATAACTATTTCGCTTGGGATAGACAGGGGCTTAATTCCCCCCAGTTCTTGGGTTGACTTAGGTCTCCTTTCTATGGCAGTTCGAAAAGGTAGCCAACCTTCCAATCCGCAGGCACCTTTCTCTTTCTCCATACATACTCCAGTAGCGGTGTCGTAAAGTCCGCCGATGTCCCTGGGTACATTTTCAATGCTTCTGCTGGTCCTGCTGCCTTTCCAGTTTTTAGCAATTTTACAACCTTCAGGAATTTTGCTTTCGTCGGATGGCTGGTATCCAATGGTAATTCTGCTTCCGCTGTTGGCATTATTAATAATAGTATATTCTCAATTTGCATGAGGGACGCCAGTTTACAGGCATCATCAGTGTGATAAGCAGTATACACATGCAATAAGCAAATTCACAACATTCCACTGTCACAGGATATTTGTGTATATACAAGGAATGGAGATTAAATAATTTCAGTAAGCACACTTTACATAGATAGAAACAATTCACATGATATAGTTCTAGACACCGTCATTGTTTGAATTTGTTCACACGTTACATATAGTCGACATGGTGTGCTACTCACAAAAGTATAAAAATGGCTTGTAAAACGTTAGTTAGTTAACCGAGAACAATGCGAATCGAAAGCGAGCTCGAGTTCGTTCAAGCAGCCTAAAAGCTGCATCCCTCGGAACTCATGTCTGAGGCTAACGACATCCTGATTGCATAGCTTGGCCACACCTCTAATACTTCCACCGATTGATTACAGTCACGGTTGTATGCGCAAGACAACTAGGTAATGATTTTAAATGAAGAGAATAATAACAAATGCAGAGTCGCAGCCTCATATCAAAGTACAACACCACTCTCTCCTTCTTCAGGAGTGAGCAATATTTCCTCACCCTTGGGCAAATCAACATACGAAAATGTATAAATTCGTTGTAGGACTATTTCTGACTTTTATTCTGACTTCCAATAAATTTGCCGGCATTAGCATCATACACTTTATTTTTTATTACAGTTCGATTCCACACCGTATTTTTGGTACAAGTATGGAATTTTCAGCGTGGATATCGGTAGCCCAAATTTTGCAGGCCGACAATTGATATCAGGTGTGCGTTGGCAGAGGATCGAACCCCAGGCCATATGCATGGTCGGCGAGAGTTTTACCTACTGTGCCACCGACGCACTATGCCTCAGTTGTAACTGGCCCAGCTGATTTGGCTGTAAAGATGACCGATAAGAAGGGACTAACTTCACCGACCAGATAAGAAATTATTGCTCAAATTAATATAAAGGTTATCTTGGCACCACCTCGGCCAACAAGGAAATCTGAAGCTCCATTACATTTGTCATTATAGGTAACACTAAAAGTCTTTTAAGTTTCATTCAGTGCGTTCAGTAAAGCCGTCTGTGGTGACAGGCTAGGTGTAAGAGTTCCATTTAGATAGTTTCAGTCCACGTTACACTGCTTTCATTCAGAGTCAGTCGTTTTGAAATCAACTGTGCCACAACTAGGCAAACACTGCATCTAATCTGGCATTGCATAATCTTGTATTTTAGGGACGGAATGGTGTTCTTGGCTTATAGTATTTCATTGATTTTTGGCTACGGCCTCAACGGCATAACCCACTAGGAATGAAAAAACACACTAAGGCTGTAGCGCTCTTTGAATGTTTGGATTTCGGAACCACTTTGGCTTCTTACGATGTGGCTGGGTTTTCCTGAACTTCTAAACGACTTACCTAAGGCATGTCAAGAAAGTTATGACTGCAGGACCAAGACTAGTTTACTTCACAGTCATCGAACAAAGACCAGAAAATGTCATATGGTTCTCTTGACAGGCCAACTTGTTATCTGAGAAAGCTTTCAGAAGCATGAAGATGACAGAATAAATCGTGTATCTTTGACTGAGCCACACCAGGCTAGTGGCTATATTTGGAGCAGGGGAATCTGCTGGTGACCTGCATTTGGACTTCAGAACATGCCGAATGTTAGCACACATGCATGCAGTCAGTTTTTTACTCTCTTGTCTCCAGTGGTGTGTTAGGACACTCTTGAATAACAGGTCGAACAAACAACAGTCAGTTGATCTAAAAGTTTGAAAGCCGATAATAGACTCAGAATGGCGCATAAAGATGAAATTAAGTGTCCTCAGGCTAAATAAGATTTAGATAACTGGTAGTCTTACCATTCATGATAGTCGCATTAATCAAAATGGTAAGTTGTTTCATTCACTTCCCAACGCAAGAGCGGGCGTTTCGGAGTTTGTCTTGGTTGTCATTTTCTACCGATTGAGGCTTAGGGGTTCAAGTACTAGCTATTTTTCTGAATTTCTGTGATGTAAGTACTGTTCTAGAGATGTCAACACCTGCTCAAAGACGACTTCTTCGTGATTTGAAACGCCTTCAATCTGACCCACCTCCAGGCATATGTGGTTCCCCGGTTGAAGATAACGTAATGGTATGGAATGCTGTTATATTCGGACCTGATGATACGGCTTTTGAGGATGGAACTTTTAAACTTCGGCTAGACTTCACGGAAGATTATCCAAACAAACCCCCACGTGTTGTTTTCACATCAAAAATGTTTCATCCGAATGTTTATACTGACGGTAGCATATGTTTAGACATCCTTTCCAATGCTTGGAGTCCAACATACGATGTCTTGGCTATACTGACTTCTATCCAGTCTTTGTTGGATGAACCGAATCCGAACTCACCAGCTAATAGCATGGCAGCTCAGTTGTATGTGGAGAACAGACGAGAATACGAAAAGCGTGTTCGTGCTTGTGTGGAAGAGAGTTGGTACGAAGAGGATGTTTGAAATGAACATACTAACTCACAGTAGTCACAGTAATTTGTTCTTGTACATAACTATTTTTTGTACAATTCTCTAAACTGGCATTTAGTTGTTGTTTTACATCGTTCACACATTTTCATTTCTTGTGGTTGGATGCGCCTTCAGAAACTTATCATTTCACTTAAGTATAACCTTTCTGCCTGTGATTTAAAGACTCATAGCTGCTTGTTTTAAAAGTCGAGTCAATAAAACTTATTCAACCACTTTTCATTTTTCTGGTTGCGTGTTTGTTTCTCAGAATCGCAAGCTTCCTGAAAGCCTGAGTTTACTGCTATTACCATTTTCATTGTTACAGTGTGTTCCATTAAGAGCGGTGGACTGCGTCATTTTACTATGTTTTAAGTGAAATCCTGCGCGGCTAGTTACCTGCTAGTGTAGTTAGGGTTACTGTTACAGTGCTTTCTTACAACTTTGAATAAGAGAAATAAATTGCACTTCACTCTCCTTAACCATAAGGGCTCTAAGTCCAGTCGAAAACATCTGTCAAGGTATTCTATTTGCTGACCATAGCCTAATATGCGTTTCGTGAGGAATCTTTGGACACTTTCAACTTTTTTTCTGTCTGCTGATTTAAAGCTACTGTATAAGTGGGCACAGTATTCAAGTTTGGGGCGAAAATATGGGGAAGTTGGGTTTTAGCAAATAACCATGAATTGATCGTTCAATCTTCAGCTACATTGACAGTTATACTTTCCAACAAGGATGGAGAGTGTTGCTAGCTGGTCAGTAGATATGGCGGTGGTCACTGCGTTGAATCGCCCTATTCCGCATTAACGCCACTATGCATTTTGACGGCTGGAGATTTTTATGAGGGCTTAGATCCTTATGTTGAAAAAGATAACTGTCAATCACGTCTCATAAACCGTTAATGCCCAGCTCTCGCTACGCTCGGGCCCACGCTGTTCATTGAAGATTTCAGAAACGCTTAGTAATAACGGACGCAAAAACCAAAACACCGATCTGCCGCTTGAGATTTCTTTATTGTTACACCAACATATAAAAAGTATAAGTGAACTAAGGTCTGAAAACAAATACTACAATAATAAATCATTGTATTACTTCTGACGATGTTTCACTCTTCTTTCTGAACAGCGACCGATGAGACGATGACTGTCGTATTGATGCCTCCGGGAAAATTGGGGAAGTTGATTTTGAGCAAACAACCAAGAATTGATCGTTCATTCTTCAACTCCATTGACACTCCCCGGCAAAAAAGGGATCCATCCCTTCTTTTTCCTTCACGACCAATACACGTTGACTTGGATGCCATTGCGAGAACCTGGGTCACACGGACGGAGCTGAAATGGAAAACAAACAGAAAAGCCAACACACCACAAGCATACCCACAGCACAATCTCACACATCAATGACGACCTGCGCCTCCAGACAGAGACCTCCTCTTGACATCTTGCAACACAATCGCCGCTTGCTAGAATGACTCTTGCAGAATGCAATGTGTCCATATCGCCACCTCACGATACTCTACGCACATCCTCTTATCTACTCATTAACAATTACCACTGAAATCGCTTGTCACTCATTCTGCCTCAGTTCTAGTAACAATGATGTATGCGAGCCTCAGCCGTTTACACTCTTTCTCCCCGGCGTGTCGGACCGCAGCTAACAATTATCTCCGTGTGCGTTTCATTCTCAGCAATAGCCTAGCCTCCCCGGCGTATACGACCCATCTGCTGTCTCTAACATCAATCAATTCATTCATGGATGTAGAAATCTAGCAACAACTTATGGAGTAATCACGACGAAAATTTTAACAAATTTACGCAATAACAACAAAGTACGAAAACAACAAGTAAACACAATGAATCCAAAATACACCAATTGCTATGACACACCACACGTATATACAAATAGTACAAACAACCTCGCCGATCATGTCTTGGTGGAATTCCTTTGAAGAATTGCAGGACTTACACCAGTACGCCTACAAACCTTCTCAGGTTGACGATTGTAATTTGTGGAATGTAAGGACACAAACAAGATTAACCAACAATTACATCAATTGGATCTCACACAATTATTTAACACAAACATATGGACAATCACTACATCAAATGTTGTGCATTCTCGCACGGCAAACTACCCTTGAAGAACTGTAGGACTTACAGCAGGACGCCTACATTCCTTCTCAGGTTGATGATACAAGTGGAAGTCGTCCGGACACAAACAGAATTACCAACAGCTAGATGACAGATGATATCAACTCAGTATGTGCAATATGAACATATGTACAAAATCACACACCGAGCACATTGGACTGCTCATTGATGCGCTACCCTTTGAAGAATTGTAGGACTTACAGCAGTACGCCTACAACCCTTCTCAGGTTGACGCCCTAGGTTGGAAAATCGTCGCAGAGTTCATTTGCTAACTTCCTTCTATCAGCTATATCCTCAAATCTGAACGGCAACACGCCCATGTCATTGTATCGTAGAATATAGATGACCAACAAACACACGACATATCTCATCAACCAAGTATAGAAACAGAGTAATTTACACCAAAGATAATAGCATTCAATTAGTAGCTTGAAACTAGAAATGCCTTTATTCATGCAAGTCAATTTGACAATTGCTCTCTCGTTTACACTTAGCTTATTCTCACTAAACTGAGCAATATCTTTCGTTTTTTCAAACGCACCAATACTATCATAGTCATTGCACAAGATACTTGAGTTGATGGGTGTCTGTTTCATTGTGGATGAAAACACCAACGATGACTGAGTGACACAAGGTGATGAACTTAGCGGTGGATCAGAAGCTGTTCTTTTTCGGCTTTCAGATAGTTGTCCAACTGCAAGATTACCACCACTGCTGTCTTTCACTACTAGTTCGGGTTTAGCACTATCATCTGATGATAGGTGGGCTACACGCTGATCAATTACACTGACGGTCTCACAAGTATGCACACCTTCTGGAACTGCATCTGCCTTCAATTCTACTTCACGTTGTAGTTGTACAGAACCTTTATTTAACTTAGCAGTAGTAGGCATATCCCTCATCTCATAATGATCAACCAAAGAAAACTGTAAAGTATCATGATCATTATCACGAATATTCACTTTACCGTCAAGTTCATCATTTTCAAACTCTTCAATAACAGAAGTAGACAATTTTGGTTCCTCCTCACAAATCATTAAAGGATTTATATCTTCACTCTGACTAGTTATACTTTGTAAACTTGTGGAGTCAGAACTCCACTCTGAAGCAGTAACTCTATTCTGTGGCATACTATTCAACAACGGCTTACCAGTTACAACTACAGGCTTCTTCACCGCGCTATTATCGTCACACAATTCGGAGTCAGACCTGGATTTCACATTTAGCTTATCACTAAACTTGCGCACTGATTCACAGCTCACCTTTGTATGCACCTCTTGCAAACGTGTAAAACAAAACCGTGTTTGTCTTGCATCTTGTAACTTATCTGTTGAGGATGTACTACGAAATCTGTTACACTCACTAGGTCTATATGCATTACTAGACATCATGGAGCCTTCTCGATATCCACCTCTCTGAGGCCTATTCGTCATCAATGATTGCGCTTTTCCCTCAGACTGCTCTATTCTAGGGGTAAAATTCGATAGACTGGCGAACTTGCTCATAGATTGATTGACACTAGTATTTACCAGTTTCAGAATATCGTCGAACTTTGGCTCGATACCCTCATCCTCCATACGGGAGCTCATCTTCACCCACTTCCTTTGCAGTCGAATAGGTAGACGTCTTGCTATTACTTCTAGTATAAAACTCGAGTTGAGGTCACTCATGCAATTCATCGAAATCATTCCATTCTTGTAAATCAGCAAATTATCCAAAAACTCAGTGAGTGCCTGGGAGTCATCCTGTAATTGACCACCATTACCCTTAACAGCTTCGAATAATTTCCCTACAATCATCGAAGGTCTTCCAAACCTTTGACGTAATATGCTCATAGCCTCGTAGTAGCCCTCTTTTGGCTTCATAAACTTACAGCACTGTATAGCTCTTGAAGCATCTCCAGTGCAATATCTCATCAAATACATTAACTTCAATTCATCATTTAATAGAAAACTACTCAACATGATCTCAAACTCCTTTACAAATTGTAAATAATCAGCCAGGTTTCCGTCGAAACACCGTGGTTCAAATTTAGGGGGTTTGATGTTCCTATTATCCCTGAACGGCGAAACAGTAACATCAACCATGTCATGCTTAACATCAGACACATCGTTACAATTAACAGACAAGTCAACATGACTTACTTTCCTGTTTGAATCCAAGACACTCTGTCCCTTCTTTGACCCAGGCATTGTTGAACTTGACCCAATTCCAAAAAGGTTCCAGATATTGCTTGTTCAAAGAGGACTTGACCGGCACCAGGAAAAATGAACGGCGACTATCCAAACTTTCACCAACTGTTTCAATCCGCCAGATCTGTTTCCATCGTCAGAAACTGTCAGCCAAGTCTCATAAACCGTTAATGCCCAGCTCTCGCTACGCTCGGGCCCACGCTGTTCATTGAAGATTTCAGAAACGCTTAGTAATAACGGACGCAAAAACCAAAACACCGATCTGCCGCTTGAGATTTCTTTATTGTTACACCAACATATAAAAAGTATAAGTGAACTAAGGTCTGAAAACAAATACTACAATAATAAATCATTGTATTACTTCTGACGATGTTTCACTCTTCTTTCTGAACAGCGACCGATGAGACGATGACTGTCGTATTGATGCCTCCGGGAAAATTGGGGAAGTTGATTTTGAGCAAACAACCAAGAATTGATCGTTCAATCTTCAACTCCATTGACAATAACAATGGACGCCTAGACAGATCATGCTTCTGCCCTGAAACATATACCATTCGCTCACCCTAATTTTGAGATGCGACCACGTGGGATCTGCACAGATTTACGGGCCATCTAATGAATGAACCTGCTTTCCACTGTCGGATCACTGAATACC